CTTTAGTTTAAAGCTATCTTAGAGGTTAAAATGGAATCTAAGTATGATGATCAGACTTCAGATTTTTAAATTTTAGGTTTTTATGTTTTAAAATTTCTTGAAATGTTTATAACGGCACGGCGAACTCTTTTGTAATATGTTAGATCAGGGGCTTCTTAAACGTTTTTCAGTCCCGACCCCTTTTTATCACTGAGACTTTTTCGCGACCCCAGGACCCCATAATATTTACGGAAATTTTGGGGAACCCCATAAGCATTGCGCAAATCCGACACACGCGTGAGTGAAACTGTCAACTTTCCCACCTGCACTTTATTACACTATAGCAGTTTTAGGTCATTAACTTTAATTTATAATTTTAGGACACAGAACAATGTGACAATTTTAAATAAGTAACAGAGGAAATGACAGCGTCACTTGCAAAGCAAGTAAAATGAACGTTTATATTATAAAAAGAATGCGTCGGAACGCTTTCGTTTTTTTTTCTTCTTTTTCTGTGTTGTCTTTATCTAATTTCAGATACATTGTGTAAAAATATTTGGTAATTGTCAAATTATTAGAATAAGTTAAAGAAATATCAAAACTGCTAAAATTTTTTGCGACCCGTTGCTGCAGGTCCCGCGGCTTAAGAAACTCTATGTTACATTATATTCAGGAATTTTCAGATTGCAAATTTTCTTTCGTTGAGCATAAAAATATAGTCCTTTTCAAACGGCGTAAACTTTGTTAAAATAAAACACAGAAAAGGAAGAAATAAAATTATCTCCGTTGCGTTCAGAAATACGTGTCATCCTACAGAGAAATACAACTTAATTATCCGGAATTTCAGAATATCTAGTTTGTCCGGGTATTTGGGGTTCTTATACACAGAGCCGGCGCTATATTTTTTTCCTCCCAGTGCAATATTTGCGGCTTTTATGCCGCCCAATATCTTCCTAAATTCTCAAAATTTTACCGCCCATAAATTCTGCCTCCTGGGGTGTCTGCAACGGTAGCTCCGACTGTGGCGTCAGCTCAGCAGTACACTTAAAATTCTTTGAAAAGCAGCTAATTATTTTAAATTTATTTCATACATTATTTAATATTTGTTATACCAAAGTTAATAAAAGCAAAATGATCAAAGACGACTGCAGGTTTTAGTTTCTTTGGAGGTGGCCGCATTAGAGAATAAAATTACCAATGATAACGTGACTAGAACTATTTTTTAAAGGTGTTGTTTATAGAATATTGTTTCAATAAATATAAATGTGTAGTGATGTCGCATGTAAGCTTACCGTGATAGGTAAATATATCAAATATACCCCGATACCGCAGGGTGCGTAAATGTACCTGAAAAGAAGACTCGCTGTAACTATAGCCGCCTTAATCATTATAATGGTTAGCGATGATGGCCGCCGTATAACTGGACCGGGGTTCAAATCCAGGAAAAACTTGAATGTTTGTAAGTGCATAGTGTTTGTGAGGGATGGTGGTGTTTCGAGTACCGGCGAGCTGAAAGTCTTCTCTAGCAATTTAATGGTAAAGGAAGAAGAATGACAGACTGTCGAATCTCCATCAAAAACTGGGGCGGAGCTGAACACTTAGTGCCGTGAGACCACACTTATACAAGCAATTATGAAATTCTAATACTTCTTTTTACCTCTACCTCTACCTTCATATAACTACATAGTGAGCTTTCTCATGGCAATTATTCCTCCCCCCCGGCTGAAAGATAAGCATTTCTGGACATATAAATGAACATAAATATTGAACATCACTTCTCTAAAATGACCACTTCCACAAGAAGACCAAAAACATTAGGAACGAAGGAGTCTTCTTAAAGAGAGTTCACTACATTTTACTTCTTACGCAAAAACTGGAACATTTTTTGCTGGGTACCTTTTTTTACCCTGCAGGATCATTTTACAAACTTATTCCACCATTTTCAAAAATATCTTTTTTAAAAACTTTTTATTAGTTTTTGCTTCGCCTGGTAACTCTCACGGGAGGACTAAGACTATAGAAAACGAGAGCGACGCTATTGTAAACGACATTTCTCACTTTAGTGACGGTTAAAGCGAACCTCTGGGATACATACACACGTCGAAAAGGAGGGGCGTTGCTGGAAATTTTCCACCGTAACGGTGGCATCAATGACCTTTATTTCTTGCCAACACAATATGAGTTGGGAAACGGCGAAGAGAAAATTTCGCTTCTTTTCCAATCCCCAATGGTGTCCTGCTCCAATTGCAAGAAAGCACAGAAACCCAATTTTGATGAAGAATGAGCCTTCGCCAAGCGACTTTGCCTCGCACTGGCGACGAAGCACGTCACCACCAGCAATACGTAAAAACTTTTATTTGCCTTTGTGTCTCCCATTTTCTTTTCGCTGGTGTTTTCTCCTCCAACGATGTTTTTGTGATATTTAATGAAAAAATTCTTGGGTAGTAAAAAGCTTTGACAAGCGTGATAGGTCGTCGAGAAGGTACTTGCACATCGGGTGATTTATTCCAGTAACAAAACGATTAAGTCGAGAAGAGTTCTTTTTCTTTAATAATTTTTTTTTTACTCCTTTGTTTTCTTTTCTTTTTTAGAATGGATTGGGAGGTAACGTACTTTTTCAGCTCAAAAAAGAACGAAAATAAAATTTTGAACTTTTGGGAAAGCTGTGTATTTGCCTTTCGCTGAAATGATTAGCAAGGAAGCCATTTAAATGACCTCTTTTTTTTGCCTAGTATGAATTCGAACTTTTTTCCCCTTCTATATTTAAAAGATTATTTCATAGAAAAACTGGCATTGGAAGTTTAGAGAGGACAGAATTTTTAACCATTAGCTGGTAAGCTTATTCCCCCATGTATGCTGTTGTGGTGTAATTGAAAGTACATGCCCACTTAGAGAGAGAAATCAGCTCTGTGACTCAAGGAGAAGACACTGCTGTTTCTTTATTTTTCTTGCTTAAAAAAAAACCCTAATGTTCTTTAGTGTGTTTCTTTAAATAAAAATATAGTGCACCATTATTTATCACAGCATTCAGTTGCTCCACTGCTTCTCCCCATTCTTCCCGTATGTTTGGCAGAATATAATGAATTATACCATTTTTCTATTCATGCCGTCATGGTAACAAGCGGTTAAAACCTGATGAGTACTGGTATTTCACCACAGACTCGAACATCTCGGAGGCGAACATACTGGTTCCCTAGTTGATTTTCGAGGATTTTCCATGGCCTAATTTGAGTACGAACCAATTTCCCTAAGAAGTCCTTCACGAAAGCAACTCTCTTGTTAGGCAGATAGCCTACGAGTGCTTTGTCGCATTCAAATAACCTAACACGATCTCTACTGTGGTGCCCAAATTGAACAATCACATGTCACCATTTCGAACCCTAGCAAAGACGCAGATGATTTTTTATTTTTCCTGGTTTCGGAAAACCTAATACTCTGTACTTTTCCGCTTAAGTCATACAACGAATTTTCGGCGCCGTGTTGGGGCGTTGGTGTATTTAATTATGACAAAGCACACGAGGGGATGCCTTCGTGGAGGACTTTCTATGGGAAACTGGCTCGTATACACGTTACACATGGGGAAAACCACGGAAACGCCCATGCAGCCAGCCCGTTCGCGGGGATTCGAACCTCGGACCGAGCTACCAGTGTTCAGCGACTTTACCGCTCGGGGGCCACCATGTTGGGGCATTTTGGCTTTTTTATTTCACCATATATCTTCCCAAATTTATTATTATTGTATTTCCAATTCCACGCAACCGAGAAGAAACACTGTTTAAAATATTTACCTTTCTTTATCCAGGGCATTAATGTCTTGTTACTACGAAATCTCTTATCTCATGTCCCGTTAAGTAATTAAAAAATGCAATTTTGGTTTTACTAGAAAGTCTTTGAATAAATTCTTTAAGATACCCAGGATAGGCAGCGTTTAGTACTTATTCAGTTCAGAATGTAATCAAAATAGTTACTGGACATTTCCATTAAAAGTGGCAACTTTTCAGAACAAAAGAGGTACGTTCAGAACAAACTATCCCTTCCGGCGACAGTTGCTCAGCTAACAGTTATTGGAAAGCGCTGTTTTTTCCCTCTACCTTTTCCCTATTATCTGAGAAAAAGATGTCGAGAAAACTCACGATGTTAATGTCTTCCAATTTTTTTCCACGTCACTTGCAATAGCTGCCTTGGGGAACTTCTGATTGAGTTGTTCGGCAGCGTCTGTGCTCCATATTCCATGTATTCTTTCCACATGATGCAATGTCACATACCGCTCGTCTTTTAGAATGAAAGTGTCAATAAAAAATTATTGTTTTCTACACATGATGTTTTCGAATAAGTAAGATTAGATCAGGACTTAATGTCTAAAATTAAAAGTGAGTGTACAGTGTGCCGAGCATTAGAAATGCTGAAGAAAAACATAATTAAAAAAAATATGGTAAATAAAATAATAAATCATGAACAGATAATAAAATTAAATAAAATATGGAAGGTAAGTAAAATATTAATAAATAAAATAAAATTAAAATATCTTTAAATAAATTCATAAGACACATGAAAAGCGAATAAATTAAAGAAAAATTTTTAAAAGCATAATTCAATAAAATGAAACGAAAAGAAATGTAATTTTATTTTGACGTTAGGTAATAAGAGACAGTTACTGGCTGTTTAGTTTGGCTTGGTTTATTTAATTACAGAAAAGCATTCGAGGGCTAGCTGCCTAAGGGTGTGGATGCCTAAGGGTAACTGGCTCGTAAACATGTTGCACATGGGGAAAACCACAAAAACGCCCATCTAGCTAGCTTGTTCTCCGAGATTCGAACCCCGGACGCGTAATGGCAAACCGCACATTGAGTTGAACAGTGTTAAACGAATGTCGCATACTGCGCATGCCCAGAAACAAATTTGGCGTAATTATTATGTTGGCGCGATTTGAAAAGAGGATAAATACGGTATGTGGTAGATGTACCGCCATCTGATTGTAAACAAATCCGGCGTTTAAGTCTTCGTAAAGTATATGTGCAATGTAAAGTAATTACTGTGTAAAATTAGATTTTTTTTCCTGTACTGCTCCAACAACTGGAAAGTTGAACGATACGATCAAGTTTGAATTCGATTGAAGAGTGCACAAAATGGGTAAAGGAAGTAGCGTAAATGCAGATGCTCCAGTGGATAGCGCGAGCTTCAAACCAAATGCTATTGCGAGATTGCTTTCAGGTATGTATATATTTTCCCATTTCAGTAAATTTGATATGTTATATGTGCAATATGTGATATATTGTATTTTAACACATATACAGTTCATTAACATTTTTTAACATTTCCTAAATTTCTATATAATGTAGCATTAAGAAAGATGTTTTAAGAAATTTGTTTCCTTACTGTTTTAATTTTTTCGAAAAGAAACATCATTTTCGAGAAACTTCAAGAAGAAAGTTATTAGCGTAAATTTTATTACAGCTAAAACTGATGCAAGGTACTTGAGTCTTTTATCTCAAAATGTGCTGAAATGTTTTGGTTGAAGTTAATATAAAATAATGTAATGAATTGTGGTATAACTGTAAAGAATTGGTAAAAATAAAATATAATTAGCTCAAATTTACTTAACTCCTTATATTATCAAATATCTATTGAATAGAAAAACCTGTTGAAATATTAAATGTAACAAGTTCTATTTTTAAAAGGCAGATGATTGTACAGCATGTAGGAATTGATGATGATTTTTAATAATCCTAAAGTAATAGTAAAGTCAACAATAAAGTATATTTTGATGTATGTAATTTTCATCAATGATTACATAAATTGCACTTTAATATAAAGTATGCTTGGATTGTTTTCATGTACTATATATTATTGCAAATTAGTTCTTCATAAAATTGTATATTTCTGCTGTGAAAAAGTATGTATGCAATCATGCAAGTTGTAGGAAAACATGTACATGTACTGCACATGTACCAGGACGACAAGATAACAATTATGACTGTCAATCATCATTTGCTGACTGTATCTGTCAAGCTGACTACACAGACTATAGTAGCCAAAGATAAGTTGTAGAAAGTGTGTTTCAGAGTTGAATATATGAATTAAAGTTAGTAGGATAATTATTCTTAAAAACTAAATAATAAAATTTAAAAATAAAACCCCTTATTTCATTTTTTATAAATTCTCTTATTATTATGATGTGATTTCACAACCATTGACCCTCTCCTATTGTTAAATAATTCATTCAGCACTGAACAACATATTATTTTATTGGTATAAAAAATAATATATTTTGTGTGTATGACCAAGTTATGATCTAAGATTTTTCAATACTTGAATCATCCTTTTAAAGATTTTTATAAAATGATTTTTTTTTAATTTCAGGCATTGGCACAGTGAATGGCAGCTGAAAAATTTTGACCCTTGTTTCTGGAAGTGAAATGTTAGATGTAAGTAATGATGTCTGAGACCCTTATCACACGGCATTTGTTTCACATGAACAACTTGTTTCGGACAATTTTTCTGCCTGGTTTTGGTTTACTATTGAAAGAAAGACATGCGACGTTTTCCTTCCTTTTCTAAAAAAATTGCAAATTGTTCGTTTTCAATCAATCAGCTATCAGCTTGTTTGTAATGGGGAACCAGTTTCCCATGTTAACCCCAAAGTGATCTATGATAATTGGCTGTTGTGACAAAGCAGAAAAATTGTTGCCAAACAGTTGTTCTTCCGAAACAAACTGACGTGTGATAGCATCCTTACTGTTAATAATACTGTGAAGCACTTAATTGTATGCTTTGCTAATGAATATGTACTAGGCAATTGTGGTTATTATGAAAGAGGTGAAATTTCAAATACAATTGTTTCAGTTACAATTATTACAGATATTATTTAATTTTGTAATAATTAATAATGCTAATTAAAAATATGAATTAAGAAAATGCAAAAATTAGTGTATAAGCATACTAAATAGTTCAGAGTAAGACTTGTACTTAATTTATAGTATGCACTCATTCACACATATGATGACTCGTACACTGATATAAATTTGATATGCTTTTATACTGTTTACATGTCTTCTATATTCAGATTTGAATCATCATCTGCCAACAAATTCAGTTAATCAGGCATTGTTGACCTTATTAGTTTCTTGCAGATGTGTGAACTTTGGAAACATTTTTAGATTTAGTGTAGTTTTTGTTTGCTTTTCAGGTTTTCACATAATATCAACTAGAAACATTACCTCTTCATTTTAAAGGTCAAAGATAAAATAAAAAAAAAAAAAAAAAAAAAATTAATTAGTTAATATCAAACCTAAAATGTTCTTTTATTACACAACTATTATTTAAGCCATCCAAATGGGCGCAATATTTTTATAATACTTTTATTTAATTTTCCAGTATATGTTATTGAAGCCATTCAAATCCCACTTGGGCATTTTCAAGCATATTAGTTGTTGAATATTATGTCTGACTGTAAACACACAGGCAAAGTATGTATAATTATTATGTAATTTAACCTATCTTTCTTCTTCTTAAATATTTCAATTTCTTTAAAATTACACGAGACAGGCATACATTTGAGCTTTGATTAACAGACTTAGTGTAGTCGCCATGACGGATAAGAAAACAGATGAATAATAGACCACCCATAATCACCAACATATAATGCAAGGATTTGAGAATAAAGATTGCTTATTAGCATAATAGTGCACTGAATATTAGATATAAAAATTATAGAACTGAAAGATTTGTCACGTATCATCTTTGCTTATTATTATATATATTGAAAATAAACAGTTTGCTTCTGCAACAGAATAAATATCGAGTGTCTTGAAATGTTTTGTATACCTGGAGCTTTACAGTTCAGTACATTATACAAAGAGCAGTATATATAATGATTATCAGGTCTGTACAGAAATTTTTAATGGAAAATTCTTGTGTATAGATTTAGTTGATATTTCTTATCTTGTGTACAGATTTAGTTGATATTTTGCAAGACATGGCAATATTTCAGACTTTTATTGTAATTACTGTGACAAAACAATCATTAGAAAATTATACACGTATGAAAATTATCATTACATTATGTAACTTATATTAATAATTTTCATACGTGTATATGTAATATTTTGGCAGGCACAGGAATGACCAAAGCTTGACAATATAACTACATCATTGTATGGCCAGGCATTGTAATGGCTGGATAGAAGGTTGCAAAATGACGACAAAGAAGGATTTAGCTTTTTAGATCCCACATCTTTATTCAATTCTCTCAGCAGATCATTTTGCCTTTAGATGAAATTCTCAAAATTATATATTCAATATTGATTTAAACTAAGTAAGATTAAATTTAGACTTTACGTCATATCTGCTTTAACAAAGGAAAGAACAAGATGGGAGGAGCAGCTGCAAGGTCTTGTAGCAGCGGTAGAAGAAAGCAGTCTGACGAAAAATGGCACGTATTCAGTATGTGTACTAGCGGTTATATAACATGCCAGAATGTTCTCGAAAGTACTGGTCTAGGATAAGATCCTGAAACTGCAGTAAGTTAATTATAGGTTGCATGCTCGCGCAGAGCAAAGCCACTGTATTTTCTATATTTTACATGTATATAATACATATTCTTTGTGTCTTGGTGAATACATTCTACCTCGCTGGCAGGTAACAGAAACTGACGATCAAAAGATTGATGAATATTTAATAATTTTGATGAGATTATCTAGGAAAGTAAAATAGTTTAAAACGTATTAAATATGGTTTTCCAGAATGTTTCCTAGCATAGTTTTTAATCTCAGACTAAATGATACACATTATCTGGAAGTTCATATTCTTGTGTCATAAAGTATGCTTTATTGTAATTAGTCTTAGATTGTAAAGTTAAATTTATGAAAATATGATGAGTAGTATAATGTATTGCAGATATTAAACTAGATTTTTTATATGCAATTTTGAAATTTTAGAGATCTTGCTTCATGTAATTATTTTTAATGTTTTTATTAAATTCTTAATTAATGCTATTATGCATGCATTAGAAAGTGAAATGAAATAATACTTAGGGATATCATTTGGCTGCATTCTGTTGTTTCTCAGTTAAACTATTCTGCATTCAAAAAATTACTCAAGGATTCTCACGAATACCAGCTCAAACAGTTCCAAAGTATTTCTGCAAAATATACATAATTACTTAAGAATTGTATCTTTTTGATAATATTATTTAGCCTTTACAAGTTACTGCCAAAATTATTTTGTAAATCAGAAATCTTCGAGGGGATTAGTGTGTCTCGCATAGTTACCCTGGTGCCACACTATAACACTGAAATTGATAGATGTATAATTGAATGTTTAATCAAAAATGTCTAATTCCTCTTTTATGATATTTCAATAATTGATACTACTGAAACAAGAAATATTGGTACATTAACATTTTCTTAATATTCATTGTGTATTTGTTATGATGCATGTATTAATGTCATTACAAGTTAGCATTTGATAATGTTTGTTTCAACAATTTAGGGTTTGATGAAGTGCCACAGAGATTATCGCTTAAAGAATGCGTGCAGGCCAACCACCAACACAAGATATTAAAAGAGCAATGAAAATGAAGATTTAACTATAAAGAAAAATCTGACTAATATTATTACTCATAACACTTAATTGTTTCGTATTATTGTAAATTTATGCGAGTTTTCCTGTATTCTGTTTATTTTGCAACTTATGTTATTGTAAATTCATGTATGTTTTCATTCTTGCTCTGTCATGCATTTCATACTAATTGTTTGTTGTGCATATTAATTATATGTGTATATTACTTCATTGAATTACTGTATTTGAATTTTAATAAACCTTTTTACCATTCAGTAGTACTTTTCCATAAAACCCTGAACATTCTAAACATCCCATATCACTAATCCTCAATTCTAAATAATACTTGAGTTTACTTAATTCATGTATTAATAACGAATTTGAAAAATAATACAATAGTGACATATTTTGAGGTAAAATAAATACTGCTCAATTGGACATTTTAAAATGTTTTTTCTTTTTTAATAGAGGAACATTTTTTAAGGATTTAATTATTAGTATTTGAATATTGTATTAATATATGATTAATTAGTATATGAATATACTGTGTGTAATGAATAAGTAAGGCAGTGAATAAATTTTGAACAATAATTTCATATGAGGAAATATGATCTGCCTGGGTTAAAAAATTAATCTTTAAATCCTATTTATGAGATTATATGGCTGGAATCTGTAGCCCAAAAGCAGTTAAAGCAACCCACCTCCAAAAAAGAAGACATTTTAAATAGTTTCTTCCAAAACTTGAAATATTTAAACATTACACGACCCTAAATTTCTAGTGAATTTAAAATA